TAACCCCTAACCCTATATATATATGACCTTTTCATCCTATGCAAATTAAATACACAATAACTGGACCAAGTTTTCATGTTTCCCAACATGTGAATGCTGAGTTATGTGCAACTATTTTAAGAGTTATTTGTATTTCCTTCATTTTTTTTGCATAAAAACATCTGAAGTATTGCAGTAATCTGCATGGGTTAATTTTCCTGCAGGAGGACGAGGAGTGGAAAGAGTTTGAGCAAAAAGAAGTGGACTACAGTGGGCTTCGACTCCAGGCGCTACAGATGAGGTAGAGATGCAATCAGTTCATTTTGCTGTATGTAAAATAGTTTTTAGCAGCATCTGAATGAAATGAAATGAAACTCGCTTGCAGACGTTGTTTATAAAAAGCTGCCATTGTGTTTAGTTAGGCAACAAAATGGATCAGATTTCAGTAATATGAATTTATAGGGAGCCGCATTGTCATGGGATCATGTAAACTTTATGTAGAGCATTAATAGTGTGACCTCTAATAACCTGACCATAAACAGTTGTACTTTTATTTACACCAGCCTCTTTTTCATACATTATAATCTACTAAATTTACTGTTAAGAGAAATGTGTTTCTTGCAGATTTGTGAAACAACTTTAATATTTAACTCACAAAAGCAGATTGGATTTTTTTCCCCCCAATTAGATTAATTTAAACGCAACATGGTATTCAGACCTGATGTGAATCTGTGAAACTCTCAATACTCACCTGAAAAATGGGGTCAAAAAATGAGAAATGTCTACCAAGCTTATCATTTAGGTTTTTCTTTATTTAGTGTTAAATTGGTTTAAATTAGTCTATTTAGGAATGTAATAAGGTGTATGGATCAGGCTGCTTGACCGCAGTCCTTTCCTGCACTGAACTTCCCGACCTGCCCGGGACTTAAGTGTCTAAAATTTAAATTTATAAGAAAGTGTTGATGCTCCAAACACATGAACATTTAATAGACATGTCCACATGTAATCATACTGCTGATTTTCAAAGGAGTAGGCGGCGCTGCTACAGGAGCCCGCTTTAGCTCTTAATTAAACATTAACGCTACAATATTGTTAAGGACAAATATTTATATGCCTCAGATTATAACAAAGATGTGTCTTTGTTTAACTTTAATTTTACCCCCAGAAACATGAAGTGAGAGTCAGCTTCAGGTGTTTTAACAACAACGAGGTGTTGTGGCTGTTTTGTGCTAAACTTAATTATTCTACTAAGAACCATAACTACTGGAATAAATGTAATTCATAAGATATAAAAAAAAGTGGTATTAAATGACTACATGAACTGAAGTCCTGTAAATATGATTTTAAATGAAATAATAATTAATTAATACTATTAATAACAATAAATAATAAATGGTAAATGATTTGAACTTATATAGCACCTTATCAAGTCCACTTGGACCCCAAAGTGTTTTACACTTCACCCATACACACCTTCACACACTGATGGTGGTAAGCTACGGGGCTCGCAGACAGAGGCGGGGCTGCAACGCACCGGCGCCACCGGACCCTCTGACCACCATCAGTAGGCAAGACGGGTGAAGTGTCTTGCTCAAGGACACAACGACTGAGACAGCTGGAAYGGAGGATTGAACCGGTTACGAGATGACTCCCCTAACCGCCCCACCACAGCTGCCCCAAAATAAAAAATGTTAATTCAAACTGTGCAAATGACTTCCTGTGCTATAATTAAAAAAATAAAATAAATGTATCAGACAACCCCTCAATTGAAAACACCACAATGACACAAAAGCTGTTTAAAATTCTCTTTCTTCAGAATATAATCAGTCCTGAGAACCTAAATTCAAATTCAAAAATTCAATTCAAAAATACTTTATTGATCCCAGAGGGAAATTTGGTAAATGGTGCAGGTTAAAGTTTTCTTACAACTTCATCACCTAAAAAACACTAAACTGTGTACTTTTACTAGGGCTGTGTATTGGCAAGAATTTGGCGATACGATACATATCATGACAGAGGGGTCACGATATGATATATCCCGATTTATTGCGATATATTGTGATTTTTTTTTCCAAAAATTCTATTAAATAAAAACCTCTTACAGGGGAAAAAAAATGA